GGGTGAAAGTCATTTTGGGAGAGATAGGTGTGACCCAGGATACACTGGGAGGAACCGACTCAGTTAGTGCGGCGGCCCCGCCCCGACTGTGAAAGCGGGCCGCGGAGGGGTGGCGGCGAGGGCCTGGGGCCGCGGAGGGGTCGCGGGGTCCGGCCACACACCCGAGGGGTGGGTGCTCCGTCACCTTCCGCCGAACGACTCCCTGGGGCCGCTCCTGAGCTGCGGGGACTGCGTTGCGGGGCCGCCGCCGCAGGCCCGGCCTGGGAGTCGGGCTGCTCGGACCGGCCCCACGCGCGCGCTCGGCCGCCGGGAGCGCAGGGCGGTGCCGGAATGTTCCCGTTTCGTGGGAATTGAGTAACGCGAAGCCCCGGACTTAGACACACGGGCCTTCCCCTCCCCGCGGGCCCTGCCTGTCGCAGGGTGCCATCCCCTGGGAGCGCCCGCCCTGCTCGGAGGGGTTGCTTCCTCCCGTGGTTCCGGGAGTAAAGACGGGGGCCGAGCGAGCCCTCGCGTGACCGCCTCGCCCCGTGTCGCCGCGTCTGGTCTCTGTTGTGAGCGCTCGGGCCACCTTGGAAACGCGGTGCTGCTGAGCCGCCGGTTGCAGGTTTCAAGAGGGCATTGACATTTAAGATGCTCCGAGAGCTTCTTACCTGTCCTTTCCTGAGGGTAGGCGAAGAAAACCGACGTTTCTGTCGTTTTAAAACTTTGTGTCTTGCCCGGAAAAATGAGAGAACTGGAGAAAATAACTTAAAGGAGCATGGCTCTCCCTTCTTGCGGGAGGAAGACTTGCAATCCAGCAGAAGCAGGAGGTCCCTCAGTTTACCCTCTTTAGCGAGCCCGCTAGTCGTTTATGCAGAAGGGCTTGTTCCCGAGAGGACTTAGAGCAGTGGGATCCAGATATTTTTTATGTTTCACTTTTCGAAAGAGCTTGATTTCAGACGTGATCCACTTATGTTGCAAATTTAGGTTTAAAAAGTACCGAGTTGATTGGCCTGCAGTACAGTCCCCTTACCACATAACTTATGCCTTACTTCACAACTGGAATCATGTTTTCCACTTTGGCATTTTTAACTTACGTAGGTGACTTCACTTTTTGTTCTTTAGCAAGGCAGGCTTTGCTGAACATTGTGTCACCTAAATTTCCTTTAGTTGAAAAAGAAGAATGTTCCTAAAAAGGCATTTTATTCTTCTCCCCCAAAGGAAAAAAAATTTAAACTAGGAAGTAGAAATATGGAATTAAAGTCCTGGTTGCTATCTTGCAACAAATAAACTGTACTTGGGACATTGAAAGTAAGTCAGAGTATGGTCTGTAAGTAAATCTCTGAATTACGCTTGTAGCTTTGGTTTAGACGATCAAACACTGACCTAAGTAGATAAAAATTCCCAAAGTTTCAGATTTAAAAAAGTTTCTTTTGATGACGTTCCTAATATCTGAAACAGCACATTTGACTTTCTAATGATAGCAAGGTTCTGCTCCTGTGGATTAATGTTGCAGATTACAGCAGCTATACTTTGAGTTCTGGAAGGTGTTCTGGGCTGGACCTTTGTATTTTGTTTACGAGGTGTTAAAATCCACATAGAGGTCAGCTGACAGCAGGAGGAAGTTTGTTTTTCAGACTTCCCAGCCCTCACCCTCATCATTCTAAAAGGTGTTAGTGTTGTTGTACTGCTTAGAAATGTGCTGTTTCAGATATTAGGAACGTCATCAAAAGAAACTTTTTTTTAATCTGAAACTGGGAATTTTTATCTACTTAGGTCAGTGTTTGATCGTCTAAATCAAAGCTATAAGCGTAATTCAGAGATTTCTAGATCCTAAAGAAAAAAGAGCCCACTTAATCCCATTTCCTTAATATTTGGAATTCATCTCATACACAACTGATTTATTGTGACTTCTTGATCCATGCTTTGCCTGTCAACCTATTCCGAGGTGGTTAACACTGTTGGTTTCCACTCTCCTGCCTTCATTCTGAAAGGAGCAAGGGCTGCTGAGGAAGACAGGAAGGCTTTTGCTTGTGCTGCCAAGTTATAAAGAGCCAGAGTAACCCTTCATGGCTGTATGTTAACTTGGACATTTGACACAACCCTTTGGGGCCTTCTTTTCCTCGTTTGTGAAAGAGGCAGTTGGGATCACAAACTCTAATTCTGTGATTGCACAGAACCAGAGCCTCGTCTTCACTGTTACATCGGGATCCTTAAGATACTCAGTCGTTTGCCTGTCTGTCTCCCTATTTGCTGTGAAGACCAGGAATCCAGACTTCGTCATTTTGGTGTCCCCTGTGCATATAACTCCTTTCACAGAGCAGATACTTAGTAATTATGGAGTTGAAGAAAGTCTTAGGAGGCAATGTTGTTTTTAGTCCACACTGAAGAGGCCAGGGTGGTGTGTTTTTTTAGGGTAAAAACATGCAGAGAGAAGCAAACAAGAGCCTGTGCATAATCCAGTGTAAGAAGAACAGGCTTCAGCTCCACCGTGTGTCTATTTTTACTGAATTATTTTTCTCCAGTTAAAACTTTTTTTTCTGTTGGTTTGAACTTCCGTTACCCAACTTTGACTCTTCCAGCTAGTGAATGAATCCATTTAGTTAGTCCCTAAAATAATCTATTTTACCTCCTTCACCAAGCATATATATTCTGTATTACCTTCTTCATCAAGCAACCTAGTATACTTTAGGTTCCCATTCCTAGTATTTACTCCCAAGTAATTTATTAAAATATTTTGCCATTGTTGGTTAAATGGGCTCAGACTTAGTTTGTAAAGGAAGCATTTTCTTAGAAGAAGAAAAACTCCTAGTTTTTAGAAAGTATTTGTAATTAATTTTAATTTAATATTTATATAGATTATACAATCACATAATTCAAAATTTTAAGACAGTATACAATGAAAACTCCTTCCCACTCAGTCCCCTCCAGGTAAACTCTATTATTAGTTTCTTGGGTATCCTTCTAAAGTTTCTTTATGTATGTATAAGCAAATACCAATATATATGCATGGCTCATTTTTTAAATTTTATTTATTCAAGTATAGTTTACATTCAGTATTATATTTTGTACAGCAGCATAGTGGTTAGATAATAATATACTTTACAAAGTGTTCACCCCAATATTTCCAGTACCCACTTGGCACCATACATAGTTATTATAGTATTGACCATTCACTATGCTGTAGTTTATATCCCATGTGCATAGCTTATTTAAAAGGGTGTCTGGAAAATAAACTACCCCTAAGGTTGAGCTATATGAGCATGCCCAGTGAGCTTATAATAACTTCTAATAGAGTGAAGTATTCTCTAGTGGTTGCATCCACTGGCAGGACCTCTTTTCATCAGAGCTTGTAAAAATAGAGGGTCAGTAACCCTGGTAAAATTGCTCCTGGTCAGAAGTAGATTAGTAGAGTGCCTTGTACTTTATTCCTGTTTAAACAGTTATGTTCAAATGAGAAACTAATAGAATGAGCCTTTTATCTCCATCTCTAACCCTTTGGGCGTTTTTTGACTTTGAAGTGTCTGGGTTTTAAAAATTGCGTTCTGAGCATCAGAATGAGAATTGCTGTTTGTTTACTTTTAGATGCCTGTCTTAGATGTCAAGCTGAAAACAAACAAGAGGATTGTGTTGGTATGTTGTAATTTCATTCTAATGCTTTTTCAACTGAAGGTTTTCTCTCAGTGGGGATGTTTGAATTTGCTATTAAGATTGACTTTATCAATACACAAAAATAAGCTGTAAAGCAGTAATCCATTATTAATATAAAATGTGTTGGTTCTCAGAGGCCTTAATGGAATTCATCTGCAAGTTTGTTTGTTTTTTATTGTCTGTAATTAAGAAGAATTGGTTATATAAGTATTCCAGACATGGGCATAGTAAATATTTTGATAATCAAAAAAATGAATAATCCTCTTCTATTAAGAAAATTATATAAGAAGGAATTTGCCAAAGCATCATTAAAATTTTGAGTATGTTATAGGTCAGTTTTGGTAGAGTTTCATTCTACTAAAGCATTTCAGTTTTCAGTACTCTTATGATAGAGTGTTTAACTTTTAATTGAGATAGAAAAATTGTAAGTCTTTTTTTGAAATATAGTATGTATGTATGTGTGTGTGTATGTGTGTGTGTATATTAAATTTTCCTTATAGTCTTGACTACAAAAGTTGTCTTGGCTAAATGTTTTAAGCAGTTCAAAGGTATGTATAACCCAGTTCTTGAAATCATCACTTCTAGATTGCTTTATATACGTGTTTAAACGTTTTTCCTAGAATGAAAAGTTATCTTTGTACTTTGTGCTGGTATGGTTTACAGGATATGTTTTTATTGATTTTTTTTATAGAGGGAGGGAGGGAGAGAGAGAGGAGAAGGAAGAGAGGGACGGAGAGAGAGAAAGTGAAACATCAATGAAAGAAAGAAATATCGTTACCTCCCATACCAGGAATCGAACCTGAAACCTAGGTATGTGCCCTGACTAGAAATCGAACCCAAAACCTTTTGGTATACAGGACGATGCTCCCATCAACTGAGCCCCCTGGCCAGGGCTTATATACAGCTTTTTATTAATGATCTATGCCATTTTGATCAAATCCTGTTTCTTTCTTCTGAAACACTAGAATGATTCTTGCTTTCTACCCTCTACAGCCTATTTTCATAAGAAGTTTTTTTCTTTTTTATTCCTATGTCTTAATTGTTCTGTTATCATATAGCTCAGATGGTCAAGCAAGGGACAGATGAAGCTCACATTTCAGATTGTAGTCCAGATTGTGGGTGATTTCCCTTAGTTTAAAATTTTTCTTTCATGCTGTTTTAAAAAACACATTAATTTGGTAATTGTGGGGTATAGACCATCTTTCTTTGATCACAAAGAGACCTCTCTTTCCAGACAGCCACTTTGAAAATTTCATTGTTTGTCACATGAGGAATTGCACTGCTTATTGATGACAACACAATTTATCAGCACTTCCAGGAAACAACTCAGCAGATGTACAGCTGATAATATTTAGAAGCATGTCATCTATTCATAATACCTACTTATGAACTTGAAAACACTTAAAACTCATATCTTAATAAATAAAAATCAGGAGGATATTTTTTAGTAAAATAAAGCCAAAAAACATCTCCAAGGTCAGTGCATGACTGAGAACTCAGGTCTGGGATCTAAGGAAGACTCAAGTCCTTTAATCTCCTAACTTCAGGAAGACAGCATATGGAGCTGTATAGGAACCAGGGCCACCACATCATTCACAGATTCTAGAGCTGTGGTGGGACGGCCCCTAAGCACAAACCTTACACATGTAAGTTTCTGTTTCTTTACAGGTAGAAAAAATTATTTTGACCAATTTATCATTTTTATTTGAGATTATGAACTATGATTATTATTCATAATATAAAATAAGCTATATATTTGAGCTCGGTCATTTAAATTGAAATGTCTAATGTCAAATAATCTTTTTTCCCCCTCCTTTTAGTGGTCTGGGGAGAATGTAATCATTCCTTCCACAACTGCTGCATGTCCCTGTGGGTGAAACAGAACAATCGCTGCCCTCTCTGCCAGCAAGACTGGGTGGTCCAAAGAATCGGCAAATGAGAGTGGTGAAAGGGCTTCTTAGTGCATTTGTCCAGAGCCCTGGTGGATCGCCTTATCAAGTGCCCTACAACGACCAGGACACTCCGGAGGACTAAGTCTTCCAATAGGGAGGAGATGGATCTTTGGTCCTTGAGGACTCATCCAAGGCATTGGGTTAGCATTTTGTCAGTTTCATTTTCAGAAATTCTCTACAATTAAGAAGATAATTTATTAAAGATGGCCTTTCCTATCTCTGTGGTATGTGTCACACTGCTTAGAAGTGCTATAAAGGAGGAGAGAACTACAAATTGACCTTTATAATTTACTTATTGATATGTAAGGGACTGTGGAAGCAGTTCCGTTGGAAGTGAACTTTTGCATGCTTTAAGGTTGATCAGTTAAAAAAAAAGACAATGTTATAGTAACAAATAAAATGCAGTTTAAAACCCAACTCTTATCCTTAATTTGTTCTTGATATTTATTTTAGACAGGAAAAGGGGTGATTCATTAAATATTTATTTGATATGACAATTTTAAGTTTGGGCCAGAGAGCAGAGTAAATAAGATTTCATCTTTGGGCATATGGGATTTTGCTTGTCTTTTAGGTTTTCGTTCTCTATCATTGACTCGTCAGAAAACCCTAGATCTGCACACCTCACTGTTCAGTCATTCACTGGGAAAGAACAGGGGTATTTTCAAGTTTTAACCAGAGTATGGTATAATTTAACTGTTTCAGGTGGACTGTTAATAAGGGGGAAATGTTTACCACTCTAGCATCGGATCAAAAAAAGTTTATTTTATTACACAGTGTTTTAATAAACAGTTTATTCTGTTTACTTCATTTAAATTGTCATTATTGCAATTTTATGCACAACCTTAAACTTGATATTAATAAACTGATTTGTCAAGTGAATGCTTTTATTTCATTAGAAAAAAATATTTATATGCTCTTCCATATATATATGTATAAAAGCCTAAGCGACTGTTACAACTGGAAAGACCAGTCAACCAGTCGCTATGACACGCTCAATGCAGGAGCTGCCCCCTGGTGGTCATTGCGCTCCCACAGCCAACCTCCCACAGTCCCTTTCCCCTGCCAGTCAGCCAGCCTGATAGGCCTCGATCGCTGGCCAGTCCAAGGGACCCCACCTGTGCATGAATTCATGCACTGGGCCTCTAGTTGGTAATAAGAAAGTTTTAAGTTTATTACCTAGAAACATAAAAGTGTAAGAAAATCTTATCCCACTCATTCACATTTAGTGAAGGTTAATTTATAACAATTTATGAATCTTTACATCTAATACGCATACATAAAATATGAAAATCTATATATATAAAAGCCCAAGCGACCGAATGACTGGTCGACGGGTTGCTATGACGTGCACTGACCACCAGGGGGCAGACACTCAACGTAGGAGCTGCCCCCTGGTGGTCAGTGCGCTCCCACAGCCGGAGCACTGCTCACTGACAGACAGGTGCAAGCCTCCTGCCTCTGCAGCAACTACCGAGCGGCAGCAGTAGCAGGCGCAGCAGGGCTGAGATGAGCAGAAGCGGTGTGGTGCCTGGCCTGGGCTCCAGCTCCTCCCTGGTCTTCGGCCTGATCCCCGTGATCTTGGTCTGCGGGGATTGGGCCAAAACCGGCAGTCTGACATTCCCCAAGGGGTCCCGGATTGTGAGAGGGCACAGGCCAGGCTGAGGGACCCCACTGGTGCAGGAATCTGTGCACTGGGCCTGTAGTATAATAAAAATTAAAATTCTGTATGCATTCACATTGGCTATTACTAATCAGATCCCTCTGGAAATTTTTGCTTATATATTTTTTCACAAGTATCCACTGAAAAAATTACAATATCCTATATAATAAGTGTAATATGCTAAGTGTCCAACCGATCAGTTGACCATTCAGTCAACTGTTCAACCAGTCGCTGTGACGCACACTGACCACAAGGGGGCAGATGCTCCAACCAGGAGGTTAGCTTGCTGCTGGGGTCTGGCCGATTGGGACTGGGTGAGAGGGCCAGACACACCCTGGAGCCTTCCTATGGTCCCTCCCCGGCCATCTGGCCAACCTCCCGTGGTCCCTCCCCGTGCCAGCCAGCCCCCGTCACCCCAATCGGGACTGGATGAGACAGCCCTGATCGCTGGCCAGGCCAAGGGACCCCACCTGTGCACGAATTCATGCACCGGGCCTCTAGTATAAATATGTTTGACTATTTGTGTTTGTCATGGGCAATGAACTATTTTAGCAGCTTTTGGACCTTTTTAAAAAGTTGTATCTATAAAAAGTGAGCCAGCCCTAACCGGTTTGGCTCAGTGGATAAGGCGTCGGCCTGCAGACTGAAGGGTCCCAGGGTCGATTCCGGTCAAGGGCATGTACCTTGGTTGCGGGCATATCCCCAGTAGGAGGTGTGTAGGAGGCAGCTGATTGATGTTTCTCATCAATGTTTCTAACTCTCTATCCCTCTCCCTTCCTCTCTGTAAAAAATCAATAAAATATATTTAAAAATAAAAAAGTGAACCAAATATTTGGCTTTAAAGTAAAGAGAAATACTAAAAATGTTGAGTTATTTTAGTGTGATAGTATGTAAATGAAATGAGGATGGTGGTAATAAATTGATTTTCCACAGCAAACCTGCCTGTCTGTCACCTAACAAAGCTTTCTTTCTATTACACATCATCCTCTGAGGATAGAAGAGGAGGGATGGGACAGAGCAGCACTGATCCTACCCGCCCTGGAATGGTATCAGCTCATCTGCAGAGCCATCTGAAAGTTGCAGCCAAAAGAACAAGCTGTGACATCTAATTAGGAGACCCAACGCAGAAGCTAAGCATTGAACAGGTTTTCTGTCCTTGTGGTTAAACAGTGTTGAATTTTATTTTACTAATGTATTGGGAACATTTGTCATCTTTAACTATTTAATTTCCCATCTATGCAAGTTGCCTTGTATTACGGCTGGCATCTGAGTCAGTAAATTGACCCTATCAAATCCATTACTTCCTTTTTATAAAAAATGTCCCCTTTACTATCCTGAAGTGACATTAAAATGTATATAATAACTTAATTGTACATAGAATAGAAATAAGAGGAAAGTAATTTATAATCCTTTATATTTCAGTATGTAAATGCTTGGGTATAATTACATCTGAAGACTATGTGTGTAAGTGATAATAACTCCATATAGACTGTTGTGATTCAGAAACACAAACATTTCTATTGATAAGACTTCCCCCTAAATTGGTGGATCGTACATAGTAAAGTTCTGAGCAAATATACAGTCTTGATTTACATGTTGTGTGTTTGGAAACAATGAATTTTACTTAAAACTATGCAAAACAGCACTTTATACTATATGAAAACATTAGTTTCTAGGTTCAGATCATCATAAACTGATTTTTCTACTACATGAATGGGCATTGGGAAGTCACACAGGATGCTGAACTATGTTTCTTCACGTGAGATTGTTCCACATGTAAGACTTTGAGCTGTCCTGGCCCCCACCCACCAAATGCCAGGGGTGCCACCGATCGTTGTGCCACCCAAAAGAAAGCTCACGTTTCCAAACATCCCCTTTAGAAGTGGTATTGGCTTATCTGGGAGCACTGTTAAAGTGCTTGTACAGGCAATTAACTTGTATACTTCGTACCACAGTCTATGAGAAACATCCTAAAATGATAGATATAAAATAAATCCTATAAAACCCTAAGAAGGGTTCTGATTTTTGAGTAGCTACTAACCTAAAAAGAGTTCAGAGAAGCAAATCTCGCTGATCTATGTACTCCTTTAGAGGCGAACAACTCCTAAGTGAGTCTTCAATGCCTAGGACATATATGGTTGGTGAACATTCACTCACTCAGCAGTCTTCGGGGGTCTAAAGAATAAGCTCAAAGTTATTTTATTTGACTGAAGCTAATGTAGAAGCCATTAGGAACAGAAAGGAATGTTTAAGTGTTCCTTTAGACGTTTAAAAGACGTCTGATAAGAAAGGTAACTATTTTTAAAATGCTTTGTTGCTTTTTAAGTTACTGCCAAGGGCTGACTTCAGGTAATGCTCTGAAAAGAAAATTAGAAAATTTTCATGTTTACTTTAGTAAGCCCTTATTAAAAAAATATTAATATTTAAAGGGAAAATATTACTGATTGGATATAAGGAAAATTAGAATTAAAGTACAAATCGTTTTAAAAACTTGAGCTGCTTTATATTGAACATGTGAGTGATACATGAGAAATACTTGCATGGAAGTTCCTCCTCTGCCATTTTTACATCATTCCATTTCTGTTACGTTTTGTTCAATGAAGTACATCTTAGAGAAAAAGTATTTTGTCTGCATGTTGATACTCTGATACGCTAGAGCCAAAATACCTTGACTTGAATACTAGTGCCACCATTTATTTGTGTGACCGTGAGCAAGTTACTTCACCTCTCCATACCTGAGTTTCCTCATGTACAATATCTACCTTACCAGATCTTTTTGAGCACTGGAGACTAAATGGTTTATTAATACGCATGTAAAACTGAGCATAATTCCCAGTACATGGTAAATGCTATTATTTTATTCGTTTTTGAAAGCTCCTTTAATAGAATTGGCACTTTGAAAATAATGTTTTTAATTATGGGTAAAGCATTCCTAATTGTTCTTAATAAGGATTTTGTAAGAAGTTAATTGTAAACATGTTAGATTATTTGTAGCACTGAGCATCAGTGAAGGATGGTAATGAGGCTTTATTAACAAAAACAAAAAAAGAAAGAAAATTGTTCTGAGAAATTTAAACTGTTTGGAAAGATCTAAATCTAATGCTCTTACCTAGCTATCTTATTTTGGCCATTGCTGCCAACATCTGCACAATATTCAGATTCTATCTTTTTTTAAAATATATTTTTATTGATTTCAGAGAGGAAGGAAAAGGGAGAGAGAAAGAAACATAAATAATGAGAGAGAATCTGATCTGCTGCCTCCTGCACACCCCCTACTAGGGATCGAGCCTATAACCCAAGCATGTGCCCTGACCTGGAATCAAACCATGATAGGTTCATAGGTCAATGCTCAACCACTGAGCCACAGCAGCCAGGTTCAGCTTCTCTAAAGGAATATGATCAGTCAACAGAATACTGCCTGATGTGACCATATTCTCAACAAAAGTTTAAAGACCTGGATATTGCGCAACAGAATTGAAAAGACAGCACAAAAGAAGGCATACAAATAGGCAGCACGCGAAAAGGTGCCTAACATTCCTCATCAGAAATGCAAGTTAAAGTCACAATGAAATACCTCTGCACACTCCTTAGACTAGCTCAAGTTAAAAAGTCTGATAACACCAAGTCTTGGTGAAGATCGGGGGGACCTGGAATTCTCTTAGATTGCTGGTGGGAATGAAAAATGGAACAGCCATTCTGGCAAACAGTAAGGCAGTAAAGAGTTAAATATACATCTACCCTAAGACCCAACTATTCTATTCCTAGGTATTTGCCTAAAAGGAAAGAAAACATGTCTACAAAAAAACAGACAAATATTCAAAACTGCTTTTTTTTCCATATTTATAATAGCCCCAAACTGGAAATAACCCAAGTGTCCGTCAACAGAAGATTAATGGTATATTCATAGAATGAAATACTACTCAGCAGTAAAATTTTAAAAAATAAAAAGAACAAACTACTGATACATGCTACAACACAGATGAATCTCAAAACATTATGTTGAGCAAAAGAATGCAGGAATAAAAGAGTACTTAACAGTAGGAGTTTGTTTATATGAAACTCAAGAACAGGCAAAACGAATCGATAGAAATAGAATGGTTGCCTTTTGGTGAGAGCATTGAAGAGGCACAAAAGCTTTTATCGGGGGTGGGGATGTTCTATACATTGGTTTGGGTGATAGTTACATGAGTGTATCCGTTTGTCAAAACTCATCTAACTATACACTCAAGATCTCTCCATGTAAAATAAATCTGAATTTTTATAAAAGTGATGATATTATTTAAGACCACATCCAACACTAGTTTACATTTGCTACTAAGTGGAAAATACAAGAAAGTGCATTAATGGCTTATTAATGGTTGTTCCATTTGCCTTATTGTTCAACTCTTCACGAAAGCACTCAAATCAAAATAATTGTGTTTCTCATCTTGTTCTGGTCCCCTGGGGAGGTAATCTGAGAAAGCTCCTTGGAGTTCATTAGAAATGCTACATTTTCAGGAAGTTTATCAAAATGTAGAAGAAATAAGTAAAGGAAGAGGTGACTTTTTTAAAGGGAAAATTTTATTCATTCCAACTCTCTTCTAGAACATTTTTCAGGGTTTTAAATGTATAAGGCAAAAATTTTAGGATAGCCTGAAATTCCTCACTGAACTCTGAACTTGTAGCTTTTCTAACAAGGCGTTTAAATCTTAAGGATAAAAGATACGGAGTAGGGTCTTTCCCATCTGTTATGTTTCACAGCCCTGAGGCTGTAGTGTGGGGTTTCTGTCGGACAGATGGCCCAGAACTGAGATCTTGTGAGTACACACAGACAGCGAATAAAACTCAGGAGTGCTGAAGTCCTCCCAACTCCACAGCCCTGCTGTTTGGAGCTTAGGTGGGTGTAAAGTAAAAGGAGTCCCCACCCGCAGCCCTCAAACCCACCATCTAACCACGAAAATGCCTCAGGTCCTGCCAGCTCAGCGCAGGCCAAACCTCTGCCACCTCTGCCCACGTGGACCAGGTGGGAGGGGCCCAAGTGCTCTGCATAAGACCTCCCACAACTCAGTGGTTCAGTGGGTTCAGTGGTCTCAGTGGTCCAGGGGCAGCTCCAGCATCCTATGTGCCCACTACAGGCCAGCACCCCTCCCTGCCCCAACACTCAGTCTGGCACCATCTGCTTGAGACCATCAGCCTAATCCTGCCTTCATCTCAGCTAGGTCCGTCAGACAACACAAGAAAGGCAGGCTTTCCAGGTCACCTTGCTTTTTCTTAAATCCCAACTAGTTCTTTACATCTCCTTTTCTTCCTCCATCTCCCACGCCTCTCCAACTTCTGAAACTCTTCCTCTGACAATTATACCAACACCATTTCCTCCATCCTCCTCCTCCTTTGTAAGTTCCCTTCTCTCTTTTTCTAACACTTGGTTCTTGCCTGAGAACAATGCTTTTTCTGCAAACGCTCCTGTTCCCCTCAGATCACTGGACCTAGCAATGGGCAAGATGACTTCATTTCTTTTCATTCCTGTCTCTCTCCCTAAAAACACCACTCCAATCTCATGTCATTAGACCACCACTCACTACAGTCCTCTCGCAGCCCCACATTCACAGCCCTTCATCCCATTAGGATGCTGGCTCTGTACCCTCTCAGTCTCCATCACTGCTCTTTGGATATTCTTGGTGATTTCAATATTCACAGAGGTGATGCTTCTAATACTCTGGCCTCTCAATGCCCTGACCTCCTCTCCTCAGTGATCTTGTGCTCTCCACCCCTCCCTTGACCACTCACTCCCATGGTCTCATACCTTGAACAAAACTCCTCCAAAGAGTAGATTCTACTGGCTATGTTCAATTTATCTCCTTTAGTTCTCTCTGTCGAACTGACTATAACGGTTTCATCACACCGCTCCATTGAAACTTCTCTTATCAAATTCCCTAGTGACCTCCAAATTGCTAAAAAAACACACAAAACCTGTTAGCTTCAATATTTTATTAAAATAGTATGTCTAACCACTATTAACCAAGATACATGAACTTTGTCTCTCCCCTTCCCCTCCCCAACACGCAGCACAGCACAGTAGTGATTTCCCGTATCCTTCATCATGATAACCAACAGAAATATTTCAAGGTCAATTTTGCAACTAAAAATTAGACCTTGGAAAAATTTGGAAATAAACAAAACATTAAGCTCTCAAACAGATTTTTTTTTGTCCTCCAGGAGAATAAATGCCAGTGTGCCACTCACCTGACTACACTGCTAGATGTTTGGTAGTTTTTTTTCTTTGTGCACAGTACACCATTTCATTGTTAAGTATCCATTTTTATAACTATAATAAAAAAAGTTCACTCCATTTTAATGTTCCTTTTCAGCTTCACAACAACAACGCACAGTAAATAAAACTAACGATAGTTCTCTTGACCTGCCAGCAGCATTTGCCACGGCAGATCACTGTCTTTCTTGACCCCCTTCCTTCACTTGGCTGCTAGGACACCGTCCTCTGCTGGCTTGCTTCCTTCTCCTCTGCACTTCTCACCTCCCCAACTTCAAGGGCTCAGTCCTTACAGTTCTTCCCTGCTCTTACCCCGGAGTGTCGCATCGAGTCCCACAGCTTTCAATGCCATTTATATACTGGGTGACTCCCAATGAGGATCTCCAGCCGAGGCCTCTTCCCTGGGCTCCAGCCCCACAGATCCAGCAGAATACTTAAGAGCTGCATTCGGATGCCTCATAGGCAGTGCAAGCTGAACAGGTACAAGGCTGAGCTCTTCAGGATCTCCACAACCTGCTCTTCCAGAGGGTGTCCAGTGGGACATTCATCCTTCCAGTGACTCAGGCCCCAAAACTTGGAATCAACCTTGTCCTTTTGCTTTCTGCCACATCCCATATTCAACTCATACACAAACCCTCTTACCCCTCCACTGACCTAGGCTCCAAACGGATTTTTCTAGTTTTAACCTCACCCCCTTCAGTCTAGGAACCTGTTAAAATTGTAGCAGAAACTTCCAGTGGCACCCCGGCTCTCCCAGCTGAGCCAGGAATGCAGGCCCATGAGTCAGACGGGCAAGGACCTGCACAATCAAAGCTCAGAATGATGGGAATAATAAATCATTATTTTAAGTTTTGAAGTTTTGGGGTGGTTTATAATACCACAATTTAATATATATTTTGTTTATTGACAGTCTCATCCACTAAAATGTCATCTCCATAAAGACAGGAATTTTTGTCTGTTTTTACTGTTGCATACCCTGTGCCTAGAACAGTGCCTGATCTCTCTCTCTCTCTCTCTCTCTCTCTCTCTCTCTCTCTCTCTCTCTCTCTTTCTCTCTCTCCTTTCTCTTTTCTCTCTCTTCTTTGTGGGATGAATGAATAGACTGAATAGACAAATGAAAGCCATGCCAGGAGAACTGTGTTGAATTTACTACTCAATTCTAGCATTATTAATTCCCTTTTATACATCAAGTTCATTACTAGCAATGAATGATATTTAAATCTCACCAACTGAATCTGGTTTTCTCTAGCATAACACATGTCAGAGTCAGCCTTCTATTATGTTCCCTCCTATGTAGAGAAATAAGGCTTTCATCTCATTTGCTATTACCAAGTGACCCTAATGTTACTACTGCTTATTAAACTTGATGGTGTTTATATACTTTAACATATTTTTTAACATAACTTCCCTCACCCCACTAGTGGACATTTAGCTGTGGTCTAATGCTTAATTTGTTCACGTTTCCTTATAATCCCCTTATTCTCTCAACTCTCAATTGTTTTTATTCTTCACTGAATATGAAAAAAGAAAGTTTCAGAAGCAGACTTACCAAAATTTGTAGCAAACACTGAATACTTCTCCATTCCAGAATAGTCTTTTGTGTTCCAATGAAAATAACTTTGACTTTCATCCCCCTTTTTTTATTATAACCACAAGAAATTTTACAACTCATTCCCACATTTTTCGTACATATCAAAGTATATGCTTTCTGGACTTTATTTTGTTTTTTTGTTGTTGTTGCTGTTGTTGTTAGCACTGCATTGTTTGGTCTTCTCTAATAATCTTTTAGACTTCTTTAATAAAATCTACTTTTAATAGATTTTTTAAGTCTCACTTTGTGGACGCACTTTCTTTTGTACATCTGCCATAATACATTTGCAAGTTGAACCTCTCTAGTCAGGAAGTATTTTCTGTTTTCTTAAAATATACCAATTACTTAACTTTCTCTCTCAGCTACTGTGGCTCCTTGTTGAAGAAGAATATTCTCTGTTATGGGTATGTAGTCATTATTAAAACACTTAGAGTCCTGTTTAAAGAGGGAGATGTTTATGTTATGCCAGATTATGAATCCTAAGGTTCAATATTTATGAATTTAATTTATGATGAAAGCAAGAAACTTTAAACATGTCTGCGGATTCCATGGTCCCAGTTAAAGCATTTGCAACTTCTTCTATGTTATGTAGCCTCAAAGCAAAATTTTTCCCTGTGTATTCTTGGTATGGCTTTTAAGGAAGGTCAGAATTCCTGTTGTTACAGTAATGTTTCCTTTGAATGCATGGTAATTGTTTCAGTAGCAATTTTAAATGGAGCTGAACTAGATGCGTAGCGTTATAACCATGATACCACACCAACCTTAAAATTAGAAAATTTGCCATTTTGATAGGAAATAAATCACAAGAATAATTTCTAAAGCCAATCCCAGCTTCTTCCAGTCCAGACGGGACTCTTTTGACCCCATAGCTTTTCTGTGCCACAGGGGCAGCCCCCAGTGAGAAAAGCCCTTCACTGAAGAGGGGGACCCCAAGTTCCTAATCCAAACCTGGCACTTTTTTTTCTGGTATCAATTTTCTTCATGTACAGTAAGAGCTTAGACTGGTCAACACTGAAGTTACCTATGTTGTATTTAACTCAGTCTATGACTGTGTGGCTCAGTAGTTGAGTGCTGACCCAAGAGGTCACAGGTTCGGTTCCAGGTCAGGACACATGGCCCAGTTGTGGGCTCAATCCCCAGGATGGGGCGTGCAGGAGGCAGCCGATTGATGATTGTCTCTCATCGTTGATGTTTCTATGTCTCCCTCTCCCTAACACTCTCTGAAATCAATAAAAACATATTAAAATAAATAAATAAAATAAAAGTCAAAACTTTAAAAAAAATGCTTGGCAGACTAAGATTACTAGATTTGCTCTTTAAAAGATTGTCCATCTCTGTTGAAGATGGGTTTGAGCTAAAGAAAGACTGGGGGCAGAGAGACCATGAAAACATGCTTATAATAATTAAAAACATGCTGGCTACCGTCTTCTCTACAGCATGCCTCTCTCATTTTCAGTTGAAAACAGGAAATCTGTAAATTTCTGGAAAATATTGCCATTCCTAATAAGAAAGTTCCTTTCATTGAAGGATTTGAAAGAAAATGCTTGGTTTCAATGGACATTTCCTGACAGCTAGAAATGCGTTGCTCCTTCCTCAATGCTCCCATTGGATGCAGTGCCTCCTTCTATGATGGCCTCTAACCACGGGGTATCGAGGTTATTATGCTTCCATTAACTATGCCGCCAAAACTACCCTTCACACTTGCCTCATCATTCATCATTTCTTTGTCTTCATCTTGTGCTTGAAAACTAAATTTTTGTGAGAAAATTTCTGTGACCATATGGAAACAATAGTCTAAAATGCATCTAGCTCCATGTCTTCTCTGTTTAGTATTCAAAAAATTTTAACCAACAAGACATCCTTGATTTCATCGAATTATGAAAATACAAAGTGTGATCTGCTGTTGTTGGAAAGATAAAGACCCTCAGCTTTTCCTTTGGTGCTTGTCTTCTACTGAAAGAAAAAAGCAAAATCTTTACTATGGAAGAATTTAAACCAGAAGTTGAAGAATAATCTGGGGTCATTGGATGTCTTAATGCTGACATATTAGTCTGCTTCAGAACTTACGCTGCTCAAAATACCTTCTGTTTCTGAGATCATATAATATTGAGTTATATTATTTCATAATTCTTTCTTTTTGTTTTGTTTTGTTAATCCTCACCTGAGGATATTTTTCCTTTGATTTTTAGAGAGAGTGGAAAGGAGGGAGAGAGACAGACAGAGAGAGAGAAAAACATCAATGTAAAAGAGACACATTGATTGGTTGCCTCCCACACAGGTTGGGGCCCAGGGATCAAGCCTGCAACCGAGGTACATGCCCCTGACCGGAATCGAACCCGGGACCCTTCAGTCCGCAGGCTGATGCTCTATCCACTGAGCCAAACCGGCTAGGGCTATTTTATAATTCTTGATCCTCAAATAGATGTGCTGTTGGACCGGGCAGAGAAGTGTTCATTGTAAAAGAAGGTCATGCTCTTACTAGAAACCTTGCTTTACTCTTTTCCTTTTTCTAGGATGTATTTTCAAAATTTAAAATTCTCAGAAAGGGAAGCAAATTAAGCATACCCTATTTCTAATCATTAACTTAAACTTTTTATGTTCTTTTTGTTTCAAATGTTGAATGACATCAGAGCATTGTAAACTTTAAGGACATATACATCACAGACAATGCTTTACACCTCATGATGCAAAATCCCATGGAAGATCTGGGCAAAAAGCATTTTTTTTCTTTAGCTTACAAAATTAGTCATAAAAGATACTAAAATATTTTTGTTGTTTTCTCCTATCATAAAAGTTTATTTTCTTCTTTCAAAATGAAATATCTCCTCTTTTCACTCTGTGTGTGTGTATGTGGGGGGAGGGTGTATAGTAAATCATTTAGTTGCAATAGTTCGTTGTTAGAAATCTTGCATGTTGATTAATCCGATCTGCCTGTCTTCCAGTTCCACCAGACCCCACAGCTTTCCAAGCTCTGCAAAATCCCGAGTTGGCTGCTCTCTGCTGGGTGGACATTGGACAGAGGAACCCAACTTCTTCCACATCGCTTAGGTTGCTCCGGACTCCAGTCTGCGTCAGAAAAACTTTTGAATCAGGTGTTGATGATTGTAGTAATTATTTAAAAGCTGATACTTTAATATCACTTCGTTGTGCGAGGCACTATTTGGCATTGACTTCCCTCAAGAACTTACTCCATTATTTTCTGTTTTCAGTTAATGAGACTGAGGCTCAGAGAAGTTTAGTAACATGCTGAAGATCGCACAGCTAGGACTTGCTAGCAACAGGACTCAGCTTTCCCAAGCAGTGCTGAAGTTAGTTCTCGTAACCATCTGGCCACATCTCCAATCCAAGATTCCTGGCTCTTTTCCCCATTGGTGCAGGGTATCCTGACTGTGCCCAGCACTTGGCTCTGCTTCTAAGCTAAGAACTCAATGCTGTTCTTTAATTGGATTGACAATGGCTATTTCATTAAGTTGGGACCTCAACCCTAATTGCTAGCAACCACATAAAGTATTCCATTTTAAATAGACCTCTTTTTTTCAGGTGGCTAAGACTTTAAAATAATGATACTCTATTAACAATTGCCAGGAGGCAACAAATAGTCATTTTATAACGTCTAAATTTTGTGTTCAAATTATTATCTAAATTTTGTTCTCATTAGTCAGGTCATTTTCAATTACTGCAAGAGTGTGTTGTTGTTTTTTTTACCCAGATGGTCTTTGCTATCGCTAATTAGAATACAAACAAAAATAAGACAAACTTCCTCTTATTTATGCATGATAAAGCTACCAAAAGAGGGGTTAAGTCTGAGCTGTTTAATAAGGCAGCCGCTGCCCACATGTGGCTACTGAGCATCTGAAAGGGGCTGGCTCGAATTGAGATGTGTGGTAGTAAAATACAAAGCAGATTCTAAACACTCAGAACACAGAAAAGGCTGTGCAATATCCCATTAGCAACTTCTACATCAATTACATGTTGAAATGATAATATCTCGTGCTATATAAAATGCATTATTAAAGTTCGTTTCACTTGTTTCTTTTAACCTTTCTCATGTGGCTACTAGGACATCTTGAATTCCATCTGTGGTTCGGCATGTCCCTATTGAACAAAACTGGGATAAAGAAAGTATTTGTGTGAGGGGAATCAAGCAGTTGGTAGCGTGTATGTTCATCCGTGAAAAGCAGGCTTTTTTTCAGTGACAATTCTACCTTTTTCTCAAGGTTCTGCCCTGTCGGACTGTCACTGTGCCCCTAAGGGCCCCGAGAAAAGGCACCTCCTCCTCGGGAGAGATTCTCAGACTGATTTTTCACTACTCGGAAATGTGGACCCGGGATGACACGTCAACAACCAAAAAGGTACCGGCATCTCTTGGGTGGGTTTCCGAGCGTCTGGCACGGTTCCGAGCAGTGGTCACGGCGCGGGCGCCCCTCTCCGCCACGGGGATGACAGTTCCCAGCGCAGCGGTGCAGAGCCAAAGGGCGCCCACGAGTTCATTACATAATTCTCGGTAGCATGTGGCCAAGTGTGGGTCTGTGCTGGGCTACGGTCTGCAGGCTCTGCCACGCAGACTGGGGCGTCACCGCGATGTTTTGACAGAGCGTGTGCTGGAGATTGTTTGTTTGGAGAAAAACTGACTCTCTCTCTCTCTCTCTCCCTCTCCTCTCTTAAGCACTTTGGCATAATACTGAATGACTTTGTTTTCAAGCTGCCTTAGCCTTCCTTTATGGAGAAAAAGCCTGAGTATTCTTTCCCCGTAGGACACAAGTGTTATTTTTGGAGCAGAGGTTCTTAGGCTGATCTCTGTCTAAACCAATTTCTGTTCTTGTGAGGTCGTGGTCTGGGGCGGCTCTGAGCGATCTCGGTGGAGGGAAGCTTCCTGGCTCCTCGAGGGATGTGGGCAGAGACGTTGAGGGGCCACCCTGAAACTTGCCTACCCTGGGCCTCACGTCAAGGCTCCCTTGCACTCAGATTGTGCCCCAGGAGCGGTCTTGGCCACATGTGTGCACTGGTGTGCTCTTCCTGCTTGTGTCACTTTGTGGGATGTTTGGGGTCAAGGTGACTCCCCCTTTTTTAACCCAGTACCTTAGGCCACAGACTCCTCAGAACTGAGAGAGCCACAACTGGACAACCTCTGCAGACCATTCAGGGTGGGGGGGCTATGGGAGAGCACAACGCACTGTGAGGCCACGAGTCCCCGAGGCCTCCAGGGACAGGTCTCAGGACCCTGAGCTCAGAGCACCCTCTTCTGTAGCCCGGCTGTGCCACAGGCTGCTGGTCCCCAGGAGGAAAAGCTCTCCAGCTTCTCCAGGTCCTCTTCCTGACCTGTCATTCCGGGGCTCACAGAGCTTGAGGCTGCTAGGAAACGTGTAAAATTAGAAACAGCTGAAAACACACACGTGGCACCACCTCACTCTGACCCCTTCCCTTGGAAACTGGTTGCTGTGTGTTCAGGGAGCAGGTGTGCGTAGAGGGAGGCCAGGTAACACCCAAGGAGCCTCGGCAGGACAGGGGGCACCTGCGAGGTGCCTTTCCCTGACCAGCTATACATAGCCAGCAAAGCCTCTTACCTGGGAAACCTCTCTCTGCAGCCCCTGCCAGTCCCACCCGCAGACCAGAGGCCTCCCTGCAAATCCCTCGGGAGTTACTGAACCTGGGAACCCAAACCAGCCAGCGGCAGCCAGACCCGGCCGAGTCCCCCGCAGCCCTCCATCCCGCCTTTCCTTTCCCTGTGCTCAGCCATGGTGGACATGGGGGGCCTGGACAATCTGATGGCCAACACGGCCTACCTGCAGGCCCGGAAGACGTGGGAGGGAGACAGCCGGGAGCTGCAGCGGCGGCGCCGGAGCCTGGCACTGCCCGGGCCACAGAGCTGCGCCCCGCTCCGCCAGGCGCTGCCCCCTGACTTCCACAGCCTGTGCGAGCAGCAGCCCATCGGCCGCCGCCTCTTCCGGGACTTCCTGGCCACGGTGCCCCGGTACCGAGAGACCGTGGCCTTCCTGGAGCAGGTGCAGAGCTGGGAGCTGGCGGAGGGCCCGGCCAAGGGCAGCAGCCTGCAGGCGCTGGTGGCCGCTGCTGGTGGCCCTGCCCCGGGCACCCACCGCCTTCCTCAGCCCGGCTCTGAGCACCAGGTGCCTGGCAGCCACTACTGAGGACGAGCGGGGCAGCCCTGGTGGCGCTGGCCCTGGCGGAGGCCATGGCCTTCCTGCAGGGCCAGCCTTTCAGGGACTTCCTGGCCAGCCCCTTCTACGACCAGTTTCTGCGGTGGAAGGTCTTTGAGATGCAGCCCGTGTCGGACAAGTACTTCACCGAGTTCCGCGTGCTGGGGAAAGGTGGCTTTGGGGAGGTAAGCGTCTCAGAACAGCCAGGTTGGCAGCTGAAGGATACTGCATAAAGGGGTTTGCTTTGTTTTGCCTTTTTTCTTTTTTTTTTTTTTCAATTTCAAGGGAACTTCCTTAATACTCATTTCATGCCACCTGTGGCATGTGTGAAATAAAATGAGATGGCATAGGAAAGACAAAATGTGGAACTGGCCAAGAATCTTCCTCTTGGGGTGCACACCAGGCACCCCCTCAGTGCCCCGGACATTGTGGAGAATGGCAGCAGGTGATGGAGAGCCCCTTTTCCCCTTAGTGGTGGTAAGGTTGCGGGGGGCGGGATTTGAGACAAACTGCAGAGATCTGAGAAAACACTCATCTTAAGGTAAAGTGGAGAATTCATTGTGCACCACTGCTGTGCTCACTCTTTTTTTAAGTAGAAAACAAATTATTTTTGAGGTAAAATTTACATAAGATTAAAATTAACCATTAACCATAGATGAGGTAAAATCACATAACAAAAGTAACCATTTTAAAGCGTACAATTCAGTGGCATCCAGTACATTACGATGTTGTATAACCATCACCTCTACAGGATATTTCCCTCCTTCCTGTCCCTCCCCACCCCCCCTCCTCCCTGTCCCTGGCAACAGCTGGTCTGCTCCCTGTCTCTGTGGATTTGCCTGTTCTGATGTTTCATATAAATGGAATCGGACGATCTGTAACCTTTGGTGTCTGGCTTCTTTCACTGGGCATAATTTTTGGAGGTTCATCCATGTTGTAGCATGTATTATTCCTTTCCGGGGCTGGATAATATGCGATTGCATGGGTATGTCATTTCATTTATCCAGCCACCCATTGGTGGGCACCTGGGTTGTTTCTACCTTCTGGCTATTGTGAACAGTACCACTCTGAGCACTTTTGGAGGAACCACCAAACGTTTATCTTCTACATCCCCCCCCCAGCAATGCACAAGGGTGCCAGTGTCCTCGCATCCTCACCAACACTTGTTATCTTCCCTTTTGTCAGTACAGTGGGGTGCAGTGGTACCTCATTGTGATCCCAGCTCTTTCTGGAAGAACATTTCTCAGTTACAGCTTCTCTTTTCTCAGACGCCTGCCGCCTGTTCACTTTGGCTGATTTCTACCCCTCCACCTTCCATATCCTCCCCCCGCCCCTCCACTGCGTCCTACTTCTTCCTCTCCCTCTCTTTCTCTCCTTTTAGGTATGTGCTGTCCAGGTGAAAAACACTGGTAAGATGTATGCCTGTAAGAAGCTGGACAAGAAGCGGCTGAAGAAGAAAAATGGTGAGAAAATGGCTCTGTTGGAAAAGGAGATCTTGGAGAGGATCCGCAGCCCTTTCATTGTCTCCCTGGCCTACGCCTTCGAGAGCAAGTCCCACCTCTGCCTGGTCATGAGCCTGATGAACGGGGGAGACCTCAAGTTCCACATCTACAGCGTGGGCACCCGCGGCCTGGCCATGAGCAGGGTGGTCTTCTACTCGGCCCAGATGACCTGCGGGCTGCTGCACCTGCACTCTCTCGGCATCGTCTACCGGGACCTGAAGCCTGAGAACGTGCTCCTGGACGATGTTGGCAACTGCAGGCTGTCCGACCTGGGGCTGGCCATGCAGATCCAGGATGGCAGGCCTGTCACCCAGAAGGTGAGTGGCTCTCCCTCTGCCCATAAGGTGGGGCACAGAGTTGGAGAGGAGAGGGCTGTTCTATTCCCAGGGCAAACAGAGCCTTGGACTTAATTCTTCTAATTTCCTTTTCCCTAAAGCCCTTAGGTTGTCATCTTGCCTAAGTGGAGTGGTGTAAGAGGATTAGCTTAACTGGTTATTTGGGGGCGACTTAGCTCTTCTCTCGATGGAGGCTGAGGGGAGCCTTCTTGGTGAGTTGGAGATAGTCCATGCTGAATCTAACATCAGGGCCTGGGTTTCTTCCACTGATAACCAACTTCCTGGTGCCATGTTCCTGAGTCAATAGAGCCTTGGTTTTCTTTTCTGGAAAATGAGGGGCTGGGCCCTAAAATTCCAGGGACTGGACCCTAAAATTCCAGAATTTTTGCAGGTAAACTTCAATAGGATGAGACAAAGAAAAAGAAGAAACCCCCAACTCTTAGCATGTTGAATTAAATATGGCCTTGTCTGTTGAGTGTGAAATGGGGAAATGTTTTATATTACATGAAGATGAAATTTGAAATGAAGTATATAAAAGAGAACAAAGGCAACTGATGTGTATTTTGATCAATTTTGGTGAAAGTGGCTTGCAGAGAATTCTTTGATTAAAAAGAGAATTAGCCCTGGGCAGCAGTTAGAGCATCGGCCAGCACACTGGAGGGTTTCAGGTTTGATTCCTAGTCAAGGGCATGTACCTCAGTTGCAGGGTCGACCCACCTCCCCTCCCTTCCACTCTTTCCAAAAATCAATGGAAAAAATATCTTCACTCCTTGGATGAGGATTTTAAAAAGGGGAGGGTGAAATCCTATATAATAAAACTCTAATATGCAAATTAACCGAATGGCGGAACGTCCAGTTGCTATGACATGCACTGACCACCAGGGGGCAGGCACTTGACGCAGGAGCTGTCCCCTGGTGGTCAGTGTGCTTCCACAGGGGGAGCACCGCTCAGCCAGAAGCTGGGCTCACGGCTGGCAATCGCAACGGCGGTGGCAGGAGCCTCTCCATCCTCTGCTGCAGGTGGGCAGTAAGGAGCAAGGGGTCCTGGACTGCGAGAGCCCCGGACTGCGAGAACTCCGGACTGCAAGAGGGATGTCTGACTGCCAGCTTAGGTCTTATACCCAGGGGACTCAGGCCTAAGCCAGCAGGCAGACATCCCCTGAGGGGTCCCAGACTGCAAGAGGGCACAGGCCAGGCTGAGGGACATCCCCTTCCCCCAGTGTACAAATTTCATGCACCGGGCCTCTAGTTATATGTAATTAAGCAATTTTTTAAAGTAAACAATACAAAGTCTCTGGAATTCTGACAGGTCTTTACCACTGAGTTTCTGTGAACAAAGGTGGGAGATTCCCCAGGAAGACAAGGGCCCAAGGCACATTTTTAAAATATTCAATTAAAACTTTGTTTTTACACAGTTTTTAGTTTATAAGGCAGAGAAAGCAGTCAGGCAAGGAAGTGAGGAAAATCATGGCAAGTTTTAGAAATTGCAGGTCATTGATTGTATGTGGCTGTAAGGTTTTGACAAGATGTGTAGGACTTAGTACAGTGATGGCGAACCTTTTGAGCTCGGCGTGTCAGCATTTTGAAAAACCCTAACTTAACTCTGGTGCCGTGTCACATATAGAAATTTTTTGATATTTGCAACCATAGTAAAACAAAGATGTATATTTTTGATATTTATTTTATATATTTAAATGCCATTTAACAAAGAAAAATCAACCAAAAAATGAGTTCGCATGTCACCTCTGACACGCGTGTCATAGGTTCACCATCACTGACTTAGTATCATTCAAGGGCATTGGAATGCTTTCCTGTGGGAGCAAGAAGCCATTGTAGGGTTTTAAGAAGGGAATGACATGAGTCAATTTGCATGTTTAAAAGACCAATTTGGAAGGTAGATGAGAGGTAGAGAAGCAATTCAAGGCCCTAGAAGGGATGATGGAGGCCTACATAAGCCAGTAGGACTGAAGCAGTGGCTGTAAATTGGAGGTATTGGAAAGAGACCCGGTGGGAGTTCAGGGTAAGGGACAGTAAGCTGGGGGGGTGGCGAGGAGGGGGTCTCTAGCTCCAGTGATCAGAAGGAGGAGCAGAACTGTGGGAAAGCTGGCAAGTTCAACTGTGATTGTATTGCATATGAGGCACCTGTGTGACAGGCAGGTGGAGATGTTCCTTCACAATCCCCAGGGAAGACCCTCAGTGGATAACTTAGGTCACATGCCCAACCAAAACCAATTCCACTGGCCAGGATGAGATAGATCACTGCTGTTTCCAGGAGCCAGAGAGAAGGTCTGCCCATCTAAATCTCATGAACTGACAAAAGAGAAATGCATTCTCCAAGGGAAAATCAGGATGGAAAAGAATGGGAAGGAAGTAAATGTCAATTAGGCAAAAACAGTGGGTGCCTCTAATAACTGCTGTTACCTCAATGGTTTAAAAAGTTCAGAAGCCTCTGATCTCTTAATCAAGGAGTAACGGGATCTAGATCCTTTACAAAAGCTTCTATGATATAGGGACCAGTATTGGCTCCATTTTACAGATGGAAAAATTGAGCCCAACTGGCGTGGCTCAGTGTTTGAATGTCAACCTATGAACCAGGAGGTCACAGTTAGATTCCTGGTCAGAGCACATGACCAGGTTGTGGGCTTGATCCCCAGTGGGGGCGTGCAGGAGGCAGCCAATCAATGATTCTCTCTCAGCATTGATGTTTCTATCTCTCCTTCTTTCTTCCTTTCTGAAATCAATAAAGACACTTTTTTAATATAATTTTTTAATTGATTTTTTACAGAGAGGAAGGGAGAGGGATAGAGAGTTAGAAACATCGATGAGAGAGAAACATTGATCAGCTGCCTCCTGCACACCTCCTACTGGGGATGTGCCAGAAACCAAGGTACATGCCCTTGACCAGAATCAAACCTGGAACCTTTCAGTCCGCAGGCTGATGCTCTTTCCACTGAGCCAAACCAGTTAGGGCAAAACACTTTTTTTTTTTTAAGAAAGAAAAATTGAGACTCAGAGAGGTTAAGTTACTCACCCAAAGCCACATCACTAATACGTGATAGGAACCAGATATGTCAGATCAAGAGCACTTACAGTTTTGACTCCACCTTGTTAAGTTCCCACACAGGACAGATGTGGCCTATGGGCTTTAATGCTGTAAAAGGCTCTCCACTCTGGAAAACTCGGACAGAATAAGTGCACGTGATGGCATTAGCATCTCTCCCTCGGTCTGGTCTGATATGGACACCAACCACAAGCCTAGTTGAACCACTGACAGAGTTAAGACTTCAGAAGACTAGCACCCCCACATACACCCGCACTATGTCTCAGACCTAGCCTCCCACACAGCGACACAATATCATTAAATGTGGTCCCAGCCACTGTCTAAACTCACTTGTAATAAATGTGATAAGCACCCCTGCCTGTTCTCAGCTGACGTCTACATGCACACAATAAAACGAACTCATAGCACCTTTTAGGGACTCCAGGAAAATATCATAGGAACATTGGGCAGCGGGGCTCATGCTGGGACTTTCCAGATTCAGCATTCAATGTGGGCAACGGTGACCTTCAGGTTTTATGGAACGTGGGTCCTTAGAACTTGTTATTTAGTCAAGACTGGAAAGGAAGTTAGAATAATGACCCCAAAGCTTTTACATGTTTGGTTACCTTGTTCTGCCTTAAAGCCTCTGGCCAACTCCTTACGTTCAGAAGGATAGTGGGTGACAGAGGCTGGGCACTATTATACTTATTTGTAAGCCTTTATTATACTGAACACAGTGCTAGAGACATACTGAGTAAGTGATTTTTAAGAGATTTCTGAATATATCATCAGAACTTAACACCTACGGACATCACAACCATTAGGACCCTGCACCAAATTTTTTTCTTTTTGAAATTTACTTCTGAGTAACAGTTTAAGAGCCACATAGGAGAGGCATTCTGGTTACTTCATGGTCTCCACCAAAATTATCACAACCATTATTAACTGAATTCAGTTCCTACTAACTTTTTTTAAAAACTGATTTTAGAGATCAAGAGGAAGGGAGAGACAGCGATTTGTTGTTCCACTTATTTATGCATTCATTGGTTAGTTCCTGCATGTGACCTGACCAGGGATCAAACCTGCAATCTTGGAATATTGGGACGATGCTCTAACCAATTGAGTTACCCAGCCAGGGCCTAGAAACTGGACCACTACAAAAACGTCAAGTCTAGCCCGGCCAGCATGGCTCAGTGGTTGAGCGTCAACCTATGAACCAGGAGATCATAGTTCAGTTTCCAATCAGGGTATATGCCTGGGTTGCTGGCTCGATCCCCAGTGTGGGGCATGCAGGAGGCAGCCGATTGATGATTCTCTCTCATCATTGATGTTTCTATCTCTCTCTCTCTCTCCCTCTCCCTTCCTCTCCCTTCCTCTCTGAAATCAATAAATATATATTTTTTTAAAAAGAAGAAGTCCATTTCAAGTCCATTTTCAAAGTATTTACCACTATTAAGAGTATTCAAAAATCTTCACAACAGTCTTGGAATTATTTTAACATTCCTTCATTGAAAAGGCAGTCATTCATTCATTCACTCAATGAATCATTCAACATATGCTTATTGAGCATTTTCCAGGAATGAGTTAAACATGAGGGATAGAATGATGAGCTAAAAATGGACATGGTTTTCTGCCCACATGGAGCTTAGGGTCTAGTAGGGGAGAGATAGAACTTAGTAATCATTCGAATGAATGTAAAATTTCAATTATGATAAATGCTGTGAAGATGTGGTACATGGGGCTCTCCAAGGAGGATTTGACTTAACGTGTGAGGATCAGAATTAACTTCAGGGAGATAAAACTTATTTGCTATTGAGAGATAGACAGGCATTTACTCAGCAAAGAAGTTGGGGTGGTGTCTGAGGCTGTGTTCCCTGGAAACGGACTCTGAGACAGATTTACACGTGGAAGATTTATTAGGGTGCACTCCCATGAGATACCAGCATGAGGAAGGCAGGATTGGCAAAGAGAGAAGCTGACCCACAATGAGCTTGAACTAAGACCTCAGGCAGTCCTTCGGTGAGCTCTGGGATTGGGGTGGCTCTAGGAGTTGTCCAGGCTTTTGTATCCCTCCAGGAGCCAGTCGGTGACCTTGGCCAGCTGGCAGATGGGGGAACCTTGGTGAGCAGTTCCCTGCTGCAGAGGGCAAGAACCCATTGCAGAGAGGTAGGGAGGCGACAGGAGATAGGATTCCAGGCGTGTGAGCCGAGGCTCCAGGACCTGGGCACATACTCCATTGTCTCACCGGATTTAACTTACAAAATACAAATTCAAAAATTTGTCAAGACAGCCTTCAAAGCCCCCACTGTCCGCCAGGCAGGGGAGCAGCACCGTCCTGCTGGGGGGCCTCACCTGGCGCTGCACCTGCAGGCTTGGCACAGGGGAGGACAGCAGTGGGCTTTTCGTGGACTTCCTACAAACACTGGTGGTGGGGTCCCCAGAGCTCTATGAGGGGCCCCTGGGCAGGTACGATGTCCATGCAGATGCCAAGGCAGGCTGGCTGAGCCCGAGTTCTGCAGAGATGCCCTACAAGCTGCTCGTCAGGATGGCATCTAGCGGATCCCACATATGGTTCCACGGGGCCATAGGACCAGCTACAAAAGCAGCCATGACCACACCACCCCACTACCACTGCCCCATGTGCGACTTTATTCTCAAACCATTCAATCAATAAAGTTTCCTGCAGCCAAAGTGCATCAAACCCCAGCATTGGGCTGCTTCTCGGCACAGGGCCCTGTCCCACTGCACCGGCTGGCCCTGGTCCCAGCGTCTGGAGAGCGCAGGCCAAGAACCTGAGGAGGGGATCTGGGCAGAGTCCCCAGGATCCACTCCAGGAGGAGCAGAGCATGTCAGGCGATGGGAATCACCGTGCAAACTGCTGCTTTGGGGGAAATTAAGGGAAGCCAGGAAATGAAAAGCACAGAGCAAGAGGAAACATGGTTCAAATGAAGCTGGAGAGGTGGCAGGGGCCTCACCAAGCCTGGCATTACCGGCCACGTAAAGGACTGATTTTTTGCTTAAGAGCCCGGGAAGCCTTTGGAAGGCTTTAATCAAGGGGACAACATGCTCAGAATTCTGTTTTGAAAAATTGCTCCAACAGAAGTGAGCACAGATCAGAGGGGATGCAGGTGGATTGTGGTCATTTGTCATCCAGGTGACAGATGATGGCAGCTCAGCCCACAGCGGGCAGTGGAGCCAGAGCGTGATGGGTGAATTGGGAGGAGACTTCAGAATGAACAGGCCTCCGTGGTGTCTGGGATATGGGGTCAGGGAGAGAGGGGTGTCCAGGGTATGTGTTAAGTGAGGTTTTGTTGCAGCTACAGCCTTGGACCCAGAGTACAACAGGGAACCCGGTAAACACACGCCTGCCTTCATGAAGCCCCAGGATGGGGAAGAGACCCACATGTAAAGGGCAGTGACAAGGCGGTGTGGTCAGGGCTGTGCAGCTTGGGTGTAAGGAGGGCACCCAGCCTGGCAGGGGGACATGGGGCCGGGAAGGACTTCCAGGTGGAAATGACAACCAAGTCAACACTTACAGCGAACAGAAGGTAGGCGGGTGAGAGGAAGGCGAGTGGGCCAGGCAAAGGGATCAGCAGATGTTCGTGATCCTCAACTGAGGGCGATTTGGGCCCCAGGGGACATGTGGCAACGTCGGGAGACATTTTGGTTGTCATGACTGGTAACTAGTGGGTAGAGGCCAGGGCTGCGGCCAGTGTTGTGCGATGCCCAGCACAGCATCCCTCCTCAAAGAAGGATCTGGCCCAGTGTCCATGATGCCGCGGTTGAAAACCCTGGCCAAGGTAAAATCATAAAACAGAGTGTGAGTCCGGTCACAGAACAGATTGGCTCTGCAGCTGTCTAGGGCATGTAGTCACAGCGTGTGAGGGGTGACAAAGGGTACAACGAGAGATGCCAGCCTAGGAGGCTGGAGGAGGCAGATAAGGATATTTGAACCCGATGCCACAGGTATTGGGGAGCCACTGAAGGTTTTCAGAGTTGGAAGTGACTAAATCAGCCGTGGAAGGATGATCTGGAAGATTGTCAACAGTAGGGAGGTGAAGCAGGGGGTTGGGAACTGGGCGGGCGCACGTTGTCTGTGAGCCGCGGAGGTGAGGAGGGAGCCAGAGGCCTGCAGGGTGCACCAGGAGGGGCTGTCATGCAACACAGTGCGACCCAGGGACCACAGGCTGCTGCGTCATCTAACGTGATGTGGACGCGTGTTGGGAGCTCAGAGCATCCCTTCAGATTAAGTGATGAAAAACGCTCCATAGGATCACGAGATGGAAGGAGGGTGAGTGTGCCAATGAGTCTGCCACTTACTATGGCTGCTGTGTACAGAGGCACAGGCTGACCCCTCACGGGGCCACCTGACCAGGAGACAGTGGGGACTGATGGCTAGCACATGGCATGCAGAGTGCCTTCTTCCAAATGCCACTGTTGGGCCACAGCCCTGTACTTGACCCCAGGGAAGCCATGCCTCTTCTCTAAGCCTGGTTAATGCCACCTGCTTTTTGGGCTTGATGAGAAGATTAAGTAACAAGGTAGATAAATGCCTAGCAGAGGGTCAGCTGCTTGGTAGGCAATCAAGAAACGACTGTTCTGAAAAGAAAAAAGAAAAGAAAAAAGAAAAGAAAAGAAAAGAAAAGAAAAGAAGGAAAGAAAAGAGAAGAGAAGAGAAAAGAAAAGAAAAGAAAAGAAAAGAAAAGAAAAGAAAAGAAAAGAAAAGAAAAGAAAAGAAAAGAAAAACGACTGTTCTGATTATCCTACAAGAAGCCCCGCGCCAGCCTCTGTCACAATCCCCACTGTTGCATCGTTTCTGCCTCACCTGACATGACAGGCACTGCAGCTGCTCAGGTGAGCTTTGCAGCTGTGCCTTGTTCCCTGAGAGGCACAGGGAGCCGGCAGGAGGCCCAGGCTGCCCTGGGTGGGCAGTGGACGAGGGCGCAGCTCACCTCTAGGCTGAGCCAAGCAGCACACACAGTTGTCTCCCTTCCTCATAGCCACGTGGAACTTCACTTGTGGTTTTATTTTGAGCATCTTGGAGGCACCATGGAAAATATGCCTCAGCCCGCTGCTGGATGGATCCACAGGACAGGAAACCACCGAAGAACACACTCGGGTGAAAGAATCGCAATTACTGCATTGATCGCTGATGACCTGCCAGGCCCGTCTTTCACTCTGATGGGGTCTTAGAGGCGTCTGGGTTTTTCTCCTTGTGCAGCTGCCCTGCCTGAGACAACCAAAGCCCAGGCTGGATGACCATCCTTGCTACCCTACTGAGGGCCTGCTATGTATCAGGCTTTTGGAGGGCGATCAGCGTGTCTTAATCACTTTCATCTTCATCACAGTCCTAGGAGGTCAGAGCTCTGAGGCTCAGAGAGGTTGAGTAACTAGCCCGGGGTGACCAGCTAATAATTGGTAAAGCTGGAATCGGAGCCACAGCAGACTGACACCAGGTTTGACAGCTCAGAAAGCATTATTGCAGGGACCCTTCTCTTGGGTCCCCTGTTGGGGTTCTCTGAAAGGCGTCCTCCCAGGGGTGTCAGAAAGAATAGGAAGACACCTCTGGTGAGGCTCCTATTCCCCAGCCAGGAAGTGGCTGGCAGAGAGAGGGGTGGGAGCAAAGCGGTGGGGTGAGCACACCAGCACAGGGGCAGAGCTGGTGGGGGAGGGGGGGAGGCGGGGGGGGGGGGGGGGGGGGCCGGGGAGGGCGGAGCCTCGAAACCAAGTCCCCTGGGGTCTCAGGCTGCATTCCTCCGAGGTCTGCAAAGGCCACCGCTTAAAGGCGCAGAGGAGCAGCTGGGAATGAGAACAAAGCGGCCAGGCCCCCCTCGGAGGAAGGAAGGAGCGAACCCCAGGAAACAGCTGATAGCGCTAAGCTCAGCTTGTTTTTTTCCTCTGCTCAACAGTTCTCCTGCCACGGCAAACAAAAGATGTACATTTTGATTCCCTCTTCTGTTTGGATTGTGCTGTCAAGTGGATCTGGTTTGTGATGAGCTGGGGGGAGTGAGGCGGAGGAGACAGCCGCGGGCGGTTTCTTGCTCCACTGGCCAGTTCGCTGGGCCCAGGCCACCCTGCTGCCTGGAAACGCAGAGAGCGTCTTTGTCCGTCTCTCCCCACCTGGTCGTCAAATCGAGCCTGACCTGGCCGCACCAGGGCCGTGGCACCAGCACTTCTCCTAATGATGGCATTAAGGTCGCCAACTTTCCAGATTCGGTGAAAGGGGAGATTTACTCCTCACTGTGACCTTGATGGACCTGCACGTGCATGCAAGTTCGCACGCACACTCCGCTTTATGGGTGTGTACAACTATTAAGATAGGAGCTGTGCCCTCTGAGACCCACTGAAGGGCCCCTCCCTGTTCTCATCACCTCCGAGGTCACAGTCCACTGCTGACCAAAGCCACATTGGGGCTCCTGTGAGTGCAGAATACACCCACCCGGCCCGGCCCCTCAGCCCCTTGTGGGCCCAGGGATGAGAGTGACAACGGCCACAGGGTCAGTGGAAACCCACATCCAACAGCAATAGTGATGTAGCTGGTGTCTGCACAGGCCCCAGCGGGCTGGCTCCGATCTTGACCCCACTGTAGGGTGTCAGAGTCTGGACATACCTGTAGGTGACAGGTGGCCCTGATGGGACTAAGAATCCACACGCCATGGCTGTGGTGGAAGGACTTCTTGCTGCCCCCTGGGGGGCAGCTGGGGAGGGGGCAGCCCCTACATGGCTTCCTAAACCCTGTGAGGTCTGGTGCCTGAGGCCCCGCAATGCTGGGCATACTTGTGTTGCCTGACCAGGTGTTGACTGTGTGCGTCCGCCAAAGGGCACTATAAAACCAAAAGCAAAACAAAATGAAGCAAAAGAAAGGAAAAAAAAAAAGGACAAACCACACAAAAACCTCCATTCAGAGTTGTGTTGCTGCTGACACTTGGTGATCCCTTCAGCCCTGGCAATGGCAGTTCTGGTCACACGGACCGAAAGCGACTGCTTTGATGGCGCAGAGACCAATGTGCGGGGGCCTTTGTAACTGCAAGAGTTAAACTGAGCCAGAGAGGTCAGCTGGCTCGACCCGCCCCATGCTGCCTGGCCCATTCTCTCCTCCCACCCCACTCTGAGGAGGCAGTTCACATGCAGAAGACAAATGGCTTAAAGGGCAGGCCATTAATTTTTTCAGCTGGAGGCTGCGATGGAATTTGGGTGCTTAGACTCTGGCGTGCGCCTCTAATTCCATTCTTCTCCTCTGTGAAATACCTCCACTCTTCAAGGCGGCGGTGCCCTTCAGAATCCCACCAGGACCTTTTCTGTCTTGGGCCAAGAGGCAAATTTAGTCCCGAAAATTATTTGGAATGAATCTCGGGCTGCCCTGGCTGTCTGGTGTTTTTTCCACTCCACCAACGGGCTACAGTGCGGGAAAGACGGAGGCCGATTCTTCATTCATTTTCTTGGGGAGGGAACAACGTGTTCCCAGAATACTGCAGGGTCTGGCCCCCACCTCCCAGCAGCCTTTGTAGTGGGAGCAGCCCAGCCAGCCTCTGATGAACAGAGATACGGGCAAAGAAAGGAGAACTTGTTGGGAAAGGGTAAAGGAAAGCAGCTTAAGCCAGGATGGAACAAGGAGAGCACTTAGTACTTGGCACATGGGGAGAGGGAAGGAGGGGACTCTACGGAGAGAAAATGAATCCTGAAGGGGACGGGGAGGGTCAGGAAAAGCAATTTCCCCTACTTCCATAGAGGCCGTGTGATGCTGTGGTTCAAAGTGCAGACCTGGGTGGGAATCTCGGGTGGGTGACTGTGGGCAAGATTTAACTCTCTGTGGTTCAGTTTTCTAATCTGAAAAATGGGGGACACAATAGTCTCTGTCTCATAGGATTATCATGAAGCTTAAACAAGAAATTCAGGTAATGCTCCTGAGAAAGTATTTAGCATGTAATAAACACTCAGTATTATCCGCTATTATTTCTAATTTTTCTCCCAGGAGGCATCTCACAAGCCTTTTTCCAGGACAAGGCATGTTCTCCACTTTCACCTTCCACCTCCTACTGAGCAACTGGTGTCTATCTGGTCCTGATGAGTGATGCTAATCCTTCTCCACTTTCACCTTCCACCTCCTACTGAGCAACTGGTATCTATCTGGTCCTGATGAGTGATGCTAATCCTTAAAGTCACTCGGCTCCGAAATGTGCTCATTGGAAGGGGACACACACAGAGTAGAACTTACCAACCACCACAGTCTGAACTGCAGTTGGATGTTGCTTGTGGTCTTCCTCTGTGCCTCTCCCACCCCAGCAGGAGAGATTAAACCTGAGAGAAGCTGGATAGGAACATACAGCCCAACTGAGAGTTGAGGATAGTGAAATACTGAATACAGGGAGATCCTCAATCCCTTCCCCACCTCAGCTCCCAGAATGAGGGTAAGCAGGCTGACCCCTCTCAGGTAGGGTCCTGGAGGATCTTTATGGGGAAACTGAACAGCCCAACAAGGTCAATGGATACTCACAGGCGAGGTCCCCATTGACATGGGTTGGCAGGATCACCCTCCAGTAAAGCCCATCCATTGATCAGCTTCATGCTAGCTTTTTAGTGTTCACTCTTACATGTGAACAAATCGTCAAAGATCATTTGTCATTTCAAAAAAGCTCTCTAAAATAAAATACAATGAAAAGAAAAAAGAAAGAAAGATCCAGGTCAGTGTGGCTCAGTGGTTGAGCATCAACCTATGAACCAGAGGTCACAGTTCTATTCTGGTCAGGGCACATGCCCAGGTTGCAGGCTCAATCCCCAGTAGGGGGCGTGCAGGAGGCAGCCAATCAGTGACTCTCATGATTGATACTTCTATCTCTCCCTCTCCCTTCTTCTCTGAAATAAAAATATATAAATTTTTTAAAAAATAAAGAAAGAAAACAGAAGAAACAAACTTGTAGAAAACAGGAACAATGCAGGAAGTAGAAGAGACCATTTTTAAAAACATACTTAATATCCTTTGAGATTTAAGAGAAGATATTGCATCCATGAAACAAGAACATATGCTATAAGGCAAGGAACACTCAGAGAAAAACAACAAGGATATTTGCAAATTAAAAAACAAAACACTGATATGTTTGCAGAACAACATGGATAAATCTCAAAAACATCTAAAAGTCACAAAGTGGGCGGGGTGGGCAGAATGGGGATATCTATAATAGTGTTAACAATTTAAAAAAGAAAAAAAAAGAAGCCAGACATAAAAATGTATCTGCCATTCAATTTCATTTATATGAAATCCAAGAACGAACAAAATGAACCTAGAGTGACAGAAACCAGAAAATGGTTGCCTGGGAGGAGAATGGACTAGAGAGGGGCACAGGGAACTTTCTTAGATGAAAATGTTCTATATCTTGTTTAGGTGGCATTTACGTGGGTGTATTCAATTATCAAAACTTATTTAACTGACTAGCCGAGACCTGTGCACATTATTCTATGCTAATTATATATTAATAAAAGCATATTTGCAGTCCTGGCCAGGTCGCTCAGTTGTTAGAGGATTGTCCAAAATGCCAATGTCGGGGTTCAGTTCCCAGTTAGGGCACATACAAGAATCAGCCAATGAATGCATAAATAAGTGGAACAACAAATCGATGTTTCTCTCAAATCAACTTAAAAAATAAAGAATAAAAACATATTTGCAGAAATGAAAAGCTCAATAGAAAAATTAAGCCTCTAGATCTAGCTATCAATGTACAGGAAATACACAGTACAGAGGAACATGTAACTGATACCACCAAAGTACAGTCAGCAAAATCTGACTGTGGCAAACTCTACAGTTTAGCCAGATTTTCCCAATAAAAACTTGCAAGGGGTGGTAACAGAGGAAGAATTTATATATTCACAGAGATTTAAGAGACATATCCATCAATCATATGGATTATTTGAATCCAAATTTAAACAAACTGTTTGGAAGACAAATATATAGGACAATTGGGACAGCATTAGCATATCCAGATATTTGAAAATATTAAAGAATTATTGTGATTTAAGTGAGAGAATGGTATTGTAGTGATTGGTTTTTGGATTTTTTAAAAATGACTTTATCTTTTAGAGATTCATAGTGAAATACAAAGGATACGAGGTCTAGGATATTCTGGGCAGTGGGAGTGGGCAGGGGAACAGGAACGGCGCATATAATATGTAATTTGGGTGACCATATGTTCGCTTGCCCAGTTTACATCTGTTATCCATCCCTCTGTTGATCCATTAATCCATCATATCTTTTATGTATTTACAGTAAGTTCCCTTCTTTTTCCTACCTCCACCCCCCAGCACCTTCGCCTTGCTCATATCACATGACCACCCTGGGTGCAAAGGATGTTGGGAGGTGGAGTACTTAACCTCCTGGCCTATAATAGAGAGATAACAAGGGAAAGGGAAGACTGGGATTGCCTTTTGCTACTTTGACTTACAGCATTTCTCAGACTCATCCACCTCCCCCCTCCAGCCTCCCCTCCCACCATCGCATCCCATAGACTTTATATTTCAGAATGTCAAATTCCTTAAAGATCCTCAAAGGTCCCTGAACACCTCACATTTTTCCTGACTTCATCTCCTGCACAGGCCCATTAGCGGGATAGCAGTCTCTCCCCTGTGGCTTTATACTCCCATTATGGCATTTACCCT